GTGGAGTGGGCTGCTGCCTCCACTTGCTTAAGTGGATCCTCACTCACCAAGGGGATCATCAACCTGATTCATAGAAAGTGTAAGAATCTGAAGTATTTCCAAACATGAAAGGGCCTCCTTGTGATATAGTGACAATCGTTAAGAAATAAAACCTTAACAAAGATTTCACATGAAAGCAACTTAGAATACAAATAGTAATACCTGAAGTACCACCTCACTGATCAGAAAGATAAGGAAGATTTCCCAAGTATCTTCCTGTGTGGCATACACTTTAGTGAGAAAGAGAAGTTATGCATGCTGGGTAAGAAAACAGAATTTACACTTATTGATCACCTGCCATGTTCTAGATTATAGTAGTGCAGTGTATAATTTAATCTTGCAGCAGCCTTAGGAGATGGTTATTAAAAATCTGAATTTATAGGTAAGGAAGTTGGCATCAAAGTGGTTACAAAGCCACGGAATTGCAAATCTGGGATTTGAAGCCAGGTTGATTTAATTTCAAAACCTGATCTCTGCAAGAAGTCTATAAATGCAAACCTAGGAGTGCAGGATGATGCAGAATACACTATCTCATCACGTACCCAGTATCACTAGAGGACAGGTGTGCTATGCAACATAAGTAGTCAGTATCATTGCATCCTACTGCCAGTGCTGAGTTGTGTGGCATTTGATCTGACTTTAAGTTGGAAACCAAAAATGTTGCTTGCGACAATTATATGTTAATACATTCTGAGTGAGAATCTAAGGGACCTAAAATAAATTCAGTCAATTTCATTTTCTTGTATTTCTATCTTAGTTCTGGACAGTTAAGGTTGCTGGATAAGTTTCAAACTGCTGGGGACATTTTTTTTAAAAGGGGAAATTGGTTTCAATGATTGGAACTAGTTAAATGATTCACAGAGATGGCTCAAACTTTGAGCTGGTTCATATTTAGAGGAATGAAGATGAGAGCACTCCACATTTCTTCCTGGTTCAGTAACTATTACTTATTAAGCAAGTACCTGACACTGGAAGTGTTGGGTGCGGGAGGACGAACAAAATGCTGAAACAAATGGGCAAGAGTATGGAAATTAATGCTGGTCCTTCAGGTATTTCCATTGCTCATGATTTGACTCTCCAAGTATCCTTTGAGGTTTCAGCAACAAATGTCAGAAATGCCCATATGATTATAGAGCATCATTAAATCCAAGCAGAACCCTGGACTCCGTGATCTTCCAAAGCTAAATTCTAGAGACCGAAAACACCTACTAAATAATACAGTGTTTCCTCTTCCCCATTCTAAATTTCCCAATGAATTTCATTGCACCTCTCCATTGTCAAGCCAAAAGAAGACACTGAGTCTTCATGAAAAATAATGTAGACAATTTAAATCAATACACATTAGAATTTTCTCGTCTCTTTGCCAGGGTACCCTAGAGTTTTATGCTGTTTTATAATAACTACTCTTCTGTGGTACCAACTTTCTGATGGGTTCAATACAAGGTGTATTCTAGTTGATACGCCACAATAATTCTAGGGAATATAGAAAATTTCATACTAATACTGTGAGAATAGTTGATAAAGCTTTTTTCTTTCCTTCCTTTCTTCCTTCCTTCCCTTCTCTCTTTCAACAGGGTCTTACTATGGAGCCCAAGCTGCTCTCCTACTCATGATCCTCCTACCTCAGCCTCCTGAATGCTGGGATTATAGGCTTGCACCACAGTGCCCAACATCAAAAACTTCTTAAAGAAAGGGCTTACATCTTTGTATGCCTACAGTGTTGAACACGGTCTTCTCATGGTCAAAGTGAGGAATAAAATTTATTTACTTATATAAATATACATGTCAAAATGTAAAATTGATAAAATAAAAAAAATACATGTGTCAGACTCACTCTATCCCATTACATAGCTCTATCATACACCTATATTAGTGTCTCCATTTCTGTAGCGAGGAAAACTAATAAGTAAGCTAAAATAAGCTACTAGCAAATATTAGATCTGTGCTTTGAATTAATGTCCATTTCTTTATTGCTTCATGTGATCTCTTAACCACACTTAGTAGCACCCCAGGGTTACTGGTGGAATGATAATTTCATGGGGTTGTTTATCACCCCTCCAGTTAAACCTAAACTTGAGGGGGAAGACTGCAAGTCAGAAGAGCTGTGATTCACAACTGGCCTAAGGACCGACTAGAATGTTACATGTTACAGTCAACCACTTAGACATAATTAGTGTGTAATTAAGAGGTAAAAGCTAAGGCATATACCGAGCTAGCCTTTGTCAACAGTAATGATCCTTTGTGGATTGAGTTTTTCCTTTCATTTTCATCACCACTGTAGAAAACTAGTAAACACAGGTGGGAGTTGGATGACTTTAGGAGAGATGGAAAGAAACAACTAAGGGAAAACAGCCTGTGGATTTGGTCACCACTAAAATGCCCTCAGAGGCAGTTTTCTCTGAGTGGCATTTTTATCATGTGCTCTTATTTTCTTTATAGTGCTTATGATATTTTTATGATTCTGTGGCACTATGTGCTTGATGAATTTTAGAACATTAGAATAACGTATAACATACCTGAGTCTAACTGTGGATTTAGTGCCCAAATCACCATTCTGAAAGAGAAGCACTCCTAGGTCCCTGCTTGAGCATTCTCAGTCTCACCAGCAGTCATTCTCTCTGAATAGTACAGTTGATAACAAAAGAAATTCTTAATTTCATATCAATCAAAGATCCGTAATCCTGCCACTTTCCTAAGTCATTCTGCAAGTATATGTGAAAGAACTATGTGGTGACATATTCTCCTCGGATGGTTCTTTGGGTCCTGGGAAAGGCCCTGGTGTGTATCAGCATTTCTGCGTGAGACAACAGGTTACATGTTCTGTTGCAGAACTACTATCATAGTTGTGGCATTAAGCATGTGGATAAAATTTTGAAACTTCTTTGATAACTTTTCAGCTTTAAAATCTGAAAAAAACTTTAGATTTCAGAAAATAATTGTAATTGTTTGGTCTTTTAAAAAGTTGTCACTTAATTAAACTGGGAACCAGCCAAATCTTGTCCCAGCACAGGAACAATGGGCAAGATGTTCCTATGACAGTCTTCTTTAGGCCTGTGTAATCTCCCCAGTGATTGCAACCACATGTTGCAATGTTGTATATTGCACAGGCTCTCATAAAAGTCAGTCTCCAACTTTCCTGTGACTTGGAAGGTAGACTTGTCCAGCTCTATCCCCAAAATAGTGACTCAGTAAAAGGAGACCCAAGAATGAAGATTTTTCGCCAGTTTTGGAAGTTCAGATGCAGGTGGTCTGCAGACCACTTTTTGAGAAAAAACTCCCTAATGTTAGTATTGGCAACAAGGCAGGCAGTTCATTTAGTTTTGCCTCATTAGAAAACTGTAAGGATAGTCAGATTTGGGATCCTTTCATAACTTTTCAAATATGTCAAGTAAGAAAGTCAAAACAAATCACCAGGCTTTCATGTTTGGTGTATGCTTTTGCTATGAAATTCACACACTTTCCAACTGCTACTGTTTTACATGGAAATGGTCTTCATTTTGTAGGCCCAGCTGTGGGAGCTCAAGACACATATGATGTCAATACGAAAGTAATACACATCAGAAGAAATGAGTAGACTTGAATCTGGTATGGGAAGTTCCTCCTCAGGTAAGAATAAGATGGGGAAAATACAATGAGGAAAAGAAATAAAGGAGAGTGGAGGTCTGTGGCTCAGAAGGGTCAACTGACCATCTCGGTCGGTTCCATCTTCCCAGACATGTGACCAGGCTCTTGAGTCATGCTCTAGTTTCACCTGCATCACCACCGAGTGACAGACAGACTTGCTTTATAGCCCCAGCATTGCCTGACAACATTAGGCAAGTGCTGACTGTTACAGAGCTTCTCAGTCACCCAGCTACATCTCTGTAAAGACTCTCATCATCTACAGTTCTGCCAGTTCCCTGATGGGATCCAAAGCCAGTGAGGCTGTAGCTTGTCTTCACTTAAATTTTGATATTTTGTTCATCATGGGTTTTCGGTACTGATTTTTAATTTTTGAATATTGCATTAAAATGTTACATATTTTCATGACTGTATTGTTTACCATCACTCCCACCTCTAAATTTTGCTCCCTAGGCAATTTATTTAATCACCTCATCCTAGTCTGGGCTTTGGTGATAAGGTCCTGTAGGTGTTTATCCTGTGATATATTTAGACTTCTCGTTCACAGAACTTAATCTTATTATCTTTAAAAAAATCAACTGTCCCTTCTGATTTGAACATGAGCTCCCCTGAAAGCTTAGAAATCACCAGCTCTAAATTTCACATTCTACAGATTTAACCAATATACACTTGCATCACTCTTTGTGGCAAAGTAAAAATGGAATCCAAATCTTTTGATTCTTAAGAATGGCAATCTTTTTAGTGTGAATATGACCATTATTTTGAGGCTTAACTATCTGGTATCTGATATCATCTATCATTATTAAGCAAAATCTTGGCAAAGAAGGTTTCAAATGTCCTTCTACTCTGAGCTTTAATTGTAGGAAAGAAATAATGTTTAAGGTAATATATTAAATAATGATGGAAAAACTAACTCTTTGAGAGATACTCTTCTAGGTATTAAGGAACACAACAAAATGAGTGACACATACTTCTTGCCAAATGGTGCTTACAACTTAGAAGAAGTTGTTAATTACTTTGGCTAGGATGGGATATTTCACTGAGTGAGAAATAGTAGTGTATTAAATCATCAGATTCTACACCACTTTGAAGTGTTTCATACTGAGCTCAACATATAATATAAACTGACATTCTAAAATGAGAAAAATTCACAATCTCCTAAATTAATGTACTTAACTGATTTTGTTTTCAGGTCATGGTTATTGGATATCAGAGTAGAAAGAAGTAATTTTTAACTACTGTTATTATGGTAAAACATGAATTTATCTAAAGATTTTGATCATTCTCTGGCATTTCTTAAGCAAATTTCTTCATTAGAATGTAGAAGAAAGTTTCCTTACTTGTGGCCTCACCATTCATCTCTTCAAGTTCACTGTTGATTCCAACATCTATGGAATTCATTATTTTGTCAATCTGTGAGAGACAAAAGCCATGTAAGTGGATTATCACATTCACTTTTAACACTGCATTTTAAAATAACTTTAAATGACATGATAATATATTTTTGGAGTTATTACTATGGCAATACTATAATAGAGAGACCCGTAGGGAAAGATTTAAAGGGAAACAAACATCTCTTGAATTGTTTTTGAAAATATACATTATGCTCTTTAAAATATGAATTATGCTTCCTTAAACTGGGTTTGGTGGTTCACAACTATAATCTCAGTTCTCAGGGGGTGGAGGCAGGAGAATTATGAGTTTGAGGCTAGCCTGGCAAAGGGAACAAGACCTCATCTCAAAATAAACTAAGAACAGAAGTGCTGCAGGTATAGCTTGAGTGGCAGGGCACCTGCCTCGTATGCACAAGACCCTGATTCAAAATAAATAAATAAAAATTATGCTCCCCTTAAACTTTCAAAATGAGCTTGTCTGTTTTCTGCATCTCTTGAGATGAACTTTGTGCTTAGATGAATAAATAAGTTAGGAATTATGAACTCTTGTTGCTCAGAAGGGAATGGAGCTAAGGAGAAGTTCATGTGACAAGGTCTATCCTCTCTTGATATCCTTCCTCTTCAGCATGACAGCATGCACTTCATTTGACTGATGAGGTGACAGGTTTCAGTTTGTAGGTATGGCTATTGGAATCAAGTTCTAACTAGGTGGTTTGTCAGCCAAAAGCTGATTAGTAGCATCCAATAACAAGAATATATACAACTTAACTCTAAATGCTGAGTTAAATACTAATCTTGTCTCCAAAAAGGGATTCCAAAAAGGATTTCAAATGTATTCACAGAGTTAAATGGATATAGTCAAAAAAACCTCTCCACCTAATAGTTTGGAATGACTATCTAATTGATAGCCATCTATGGTTTAGTCTCTTTTTTCCTCATACTGGCAATCTGAGAAAGATGGCAGGTTTCAGAAAGAACAATGAATATTACTTAAATGCCCCATTTGGTTCACCCTAAAACAGATGTAGAGATAGCAAGTGATTTTCCCAAATAGTTCAATTCAGAATGTCAATATCAAAAGCATATCCATTTCTAGTTCTCAGAATACCATAGTGACCTAATGTGCTTCAAAACTTAATCCAACTGGCACAGTCTTTTGAGAGACAAAATGTGACATGTTAGAATGAAATATCAATAGAGACTGTGGCCCATTCTTTAAAGCAATTCAAGAAAAGGCAAGTAACTTTATTATTTTATGAAGTAATTCTCCTTAGGGACAAAGGATATTTCATAGTTTTACAAGGGCACTTACTTTCTGAATAATTCCATCAGATTAAAGACTGTGTCTTTTAGTAGAGCTTAAATTGGTAATACTTGACCTTAAAACAGTTTTTCCCTTTAATGTTTCTCTGATAGCTATAAAAGGGAAATATTAAGTGTGTTTATTGCATTGTTTTTGAAGAAGAGCCAGGACCACTGGCTTTATCATTAAGGTTAGAACCATAAGGAATTGTTGTAAAAATATAGGATGCTTTATTTTATATTGTTTTATTATTGTTGCACTGGGGATACATCGTGACATTTACAAAAGTTCTTATAATATATAATAGTTGAATTTATCCTCTCTATCATTCACCTTTATCTCTCCTCTCTTCTCTCTCTAAAGAAGACAGACAAGTTCACACAGAGCTTAGCAAGCAGCAAAATGACACTGAGCAAAATATCAAGATTTTTCTTGGTTTGTTATCTCTGATTTTTTAGTAGAACATGATGTGAACATTCTCTTGTACTTCATAGCTAGTTATTACTTCTGTTTGATATTAATTTCTATGGAAACAATAGATTTTCTCCACTTGTGGAACTATGTTTATTTTTATACTTGCTGTGAAATTGCCATGTATTACCCATAGAACCTTTTCCCTTCCAGTTGGAGCTGTATGCATGTATTAATTGTTTTTTTCCTTTTAGTGTCTGAAAGAAACTAAGAAGACAAAAATCATTCCCCTAATCCTCCCTTAACTCCAAAGCCTTATTTAGAGAATATTAAGAAGATCTAGGCTTACTTCTTCCCATTCAGATGTGAAAGATGGTGTTCTTTCAGAATTTTCTTTAGAACTGTGTTCAGCAGTTGAAGATTCACTCCAGTTAACTCTTGATGCTTTCTCCTTTGAAGGGTAGGCAATGAGATCAGAATCAGATTTAGAGACATTTTTGGACAAATGCATGTTGACCAGGGCTTTAGGCAATGACCTTATTCTCCCCAGAGTACACGCTCTCTCCACAAATCCCCCTGTGTTCACAACCCACTGGTCCCCATTCCGGGATCCGCTCCTGGTTGTTCTTGTACCAACAATGGTATGATTCTCGAGTTGGTTGCTTTTTTTGTGAAAAATTGTTCTACTGACCACTTTGGGTTTAATTTTCTTCACCAAAGGTTCTGAGTTATTTTCTATTGGAGTCTGCTTGAAAGGCAAAGGGCTATTTGCCAAAGTAACTTCATCTTGTCCTTCTTCACATTGTTCTCTTTTCCCATACAGGTGAAATGGATTTTCGGGGGACTCACAGGCCGGAGATGATCCATGGAGAAGACCTGCAAATTGCCCAGGATCATATTCTTTTGGAGGATCATTGTCATCCTGTTGAGAGAGGTCATCTGCAAAAGGAGAAAGGATGTCAGGATACTTGTTTATGTAGGATTCTGAATGCTGTGACACAATAGCAGCGTCCTTATGACCTTGTACAATATCCACACATTTGACTTATTACTACATTGAAATACCCTGGCCTTATGAGATACCCATGACTCTATAGTGCTGTATACAAAATGAATATATATGTGTGAATTTAATCTTCCTGATACACCAAAGGTAGGAATTGAGTATTAAGTGATTATATACCCTTCTTGCTTCTCCACAGGGCATATGTTTTATATTGAATGGACAAAATTGGGTTCCTTGAAGTGGGACAACAACATTCAAAGTCTCACAGTAAATGACTATTGTACAGTAGGGCATCAGACAGGTAAGCCAAAATTAAATATAATGATATCTGCCTGCTCTCTTCCCAGCAAATAAATTAAAAATCAAAATCTTGAAAATAAGACAACTAGAAATAAAGTAAGGTAAATAATCTTGATTACTTTAAACATAAAATTAAGAATTATTCTAGAAAGATTTTGTGATTTAATCAAAAAGGATTTGTTCAGGCTTAACAGAGGCAAACAATGCATTCATCATATCACTGGAAAGCAAGTCTTATGCAAAACTGATACTGAGCTATTAACACAATGCTATCTTTTTCTCTCTTTTTTTGAAATAGCATTAGTTATTTTCTGATTTCTTTAGATCTTTGAAAGTGTAGTGCAGAAAAGAAACCAAAGAAGAACAAACATTTTTATTGCTTTAGAAATGTTTTCAAAGGTATACATAAATTTTCTCTGATATTTAAAATACATCATGCCAGGCATATCCCTGCATATTGGACAAAATGTCCTTTAAAAAAGGATGAAGGCAGGAAAGATGGTGGGTTAAAGACACCCAGCACTTTCCTGGTCTATACAAATCTGAAACAAGATATTAGGTGGGTTGCTGCAGGGAGAGGTAGGTGGTATGGAAAAGCAAGCAAGGAAAACAGTAAACAGTAGACAGCTAGAGACCAAATGAAGTCTAGAAATATTATAATTTAGATTTATAAAAGAAACAATGGACCCTAACATAGAGCACTAAGCAAAATGGTAGAGAAGGGGGAGACTCTCCCTACCCCCTCCACAGGGCTGCAGACAAGAGAGAAAAGAAAAGCCTCGGGGAGCCTCATAGACACACAAGCTGGCACTGTGCAAAAACTGAGCTGAAGACAGTGCAAGGCCCCACTTGAAATTAGCCTAACCCACTGCATTTTGTAACGGACTCAATCTTGTCTGGCAGGAAGGCTGTTAAACTTTGTTTTGCAGAAACTGTTTTTCTGAACTTAAGCAGAACCCCACTTGCATTTTGTTGGCAACATATTCTGACCACATGGTGTCATAGAAAAGATTGTACAAGCTGACAAATAACCATCCTGGCAAAACATTAAGAAACTGACCACCCTAGTGGCTTCCTGGGTCAGCTAGCTGAACCAAACTAAAGCTAAAACATCAGCAATACATTCCTTCTACATCTCAAATGCTTGTAAACCCCAGCCCTAATCTCATTATGGGCTGATGCATCAGCCACTTTCCTCCCTTGGAAAGTGAATAAAACTTTGCTTCTGCTTCAAAAATTGTTTTCCTGTGAAATCTTTTATTCTCTCAGCACGTTGGCCTCATGGACTGGGACCTAAAAGACAATGTAGTAAACATATACTGGAGAAAGACCCCTGCATTTCTTAGCTTACTCACTGGTACCACAAAGCAAATTTCAAAATAATTCAAATTATTTTTTCAGATCAAAGTGGAATAAAATTAGAAATCAATAGCAAGAGAAACTATGGAAACTATACAAATACATGGAGATTGAACAATATACTTCTGAGTAATTAATAGGAGGTCATTGAAGAAATCAGGGAGGAAAATTAAAAAAATCCTACAATCAAATGAAAACAACTCATCAGAACCTCTGGAATATAGCATATATAGTTCTCACAGGGAAGTTAATAGCTTTGAGTGCCTATATACTGTAGAGATCTCAAATAAATAACCCAATTATGCACCACAAGTTCTGAGAAAAACAAGAACAAACAAAACACAAAATTTGTAGACAGAAAGAAATAATAAAGATCAAGACAGATCTTAATTTTCTAAATTAATGAAATGGAAACTAAAAGAAAACAAAGAATGAATGCAACAGATCCAGTTTTTAAAAAAGATAAACAAGACTGATGAACCTTTAGCCAAATTAACCAAAAGATAGAGAGAGAAGACCCAAATTAATAAAATTAGAGATTAAAATGGGGATGTTACAACAGATACCAGAGGGTCATTGGGGAATATTTTGAAAACTTATATTCCAATAAACTGGAAAAATCCAAAGGGAAATTTATAAATTTAAACAAATATACCCTACTGAACCAAGATGATATAAACAACCAAAACAGAGCTAGAATGAACAGTGAGACTAAAGCAGTAATAGTTCCCAAGAAAGAAAAGCCAAGGACTAGATGGAATCACTGCTGAATTCTTCTAGACCTTTAAAGAACATCAATGATTCTCAAATGATTCCATAAAACAGAAAGAAAGGAACACTACCAAGTTCATTCCACAAAGCCAGTATTACCCTGATTCCAAAACCCAATAAGGACACACACACACACAAAAGAAACCTATAGACCAACTTTTTCTATGAACATTGATGCAAAAATACTCAATAAAATACTTGCAAACTTAATTCAACAACACATTATAAAGATTATACACCATGATCAAGATGGTTTCATTTCAGGGGTGCAAGGATGTTTCGACATATGCAAATCAAGGACAGAAATCTCAAATCAACTCAGTACACGAGGAAAAAGCCTTTGATTAAAATTCAACATCTATTCATGATAAAATGCCTGAATAAACTAGGAATGGCAGTATAATCCCTCAATATAATAATACAACAAACCTATAGCCAACATTATTCTAAATGAAGAAAGAGTGAAAGAATTTTCTCTAAAATAAGAAATGAGACAAAAGTGTAAATCTCTCCAAACTTATCCAACATAATGCTTGAATTCTTAACCAGACAAAAATGCAAGACAAAGGAATAAAAGGGATCCAAATAGGAAAAGAAGAAGTCAAGTTATCCTTATTTGAAGATATGATCCTACACTTAAAAGGCCCCAATGACCCTACCAGAAAATTTTTTTTTATTATTGTATTATTCATATGTGCATACAAGGCTTGGGTCATTTCTCCCCCCTGCCCCCACCCCCCCCTTACCACCCATTTTCTGCCCCCTCCCTCTCCCCCACCCCCTCAATACCCAGCAGAAACTATTTTGCCCTTATTTCTAATTTTGTTGTAGAGAGAGTATAAGCAATAACAGGAAGGGACAAGGGTTTTTGCTGGTTGAGATAAGGATAGCTATACAGGGCATTGACTCACATTGATTTCCTGTGCATGTGTGTTACCTTCTAGGTTAATTCTTTTTAATCTAACCTTTTCTCTAGTACCTGTTCCCCTTTTCCTATTGGCCTCAGTTGCTTTTAAGGTATCTGCTTTAGTTTCTCTGCGTTAAGGGCAACAAATGGTAGCTAATTTTTTAGGTGTCTTACCTATCCTCACCTCTCCCTTGTGTGGTCTCGCTTTTATCAAGTGCTCAAAGTCCAATCCCATTGTTGTGTTTGCCCTTGATCTAATGTCCACATATGAGGGAGAACATACGATTTTTGGTCTTTTGGGCCAGGCTAACCTCACTCAGAATGATGTTCTCCAATTCCATCCATTTACCAGCGAATGATAACATTTCATTTTTCTTCATGGCTGCATAAAATTCCATTGTGTATAGATACCACATTTTCTTAATCCATTCGTCAGTGGTGGGGCATCTTGGTTGTTTCCATAACTTGGGTATTGTGAATAGTGCCGCAATAAACATGGGTGTGCAGGTGCCTCTGGAGTAACCTGTGTCACAGTCTTTTGGGTATATCCCCAAGAGTGGTATTGCTGGATCAAATGGTAGAACAATGTTTAGCTTTTGAAGTAGCCTCCAAATTTTTTTCCAGAGTGGTTGTACTAGTTTACATTCCCACCAACAGTGTAAGAGGGTTCCTTTTTCCCCGCATCCTCACCAACACCTGTTGTTGGTGGTGTTGCTAATGATGGCTATTCTAACAGGGGTGACCTACCAGAAAATTCTTAAAGCTGATGAACACTTTCAGCAAAGTAGCAGGATACAAAATCAGCATATAAAACATCAGTATCTTCTCTATAAAGTAATTATGATCATGGTGAGAAATAAATCAGAAAAGTAATCCCATTCATAACAGTCTGAAAAAAATACCTAGAAATAAACCCAATCAAGGAGATGAAAGACCTCTATCATGAAAACTATAAAATATTGAAGAAAACAATTGGAGAAGACACTAGGAGATGGAAAGACTTCCCATGTTCATAGATTGGCAGAATTAATATTATAAAAATATGATTACATTAGCAAAAGTAATCTATATATTCAATGTAATCTCAGTTACATTAAATTGTATCAAAATTCCAATGATATTTTTCACACAACTATAAAAACAATCCTAAAAGACCTTAAATAGCCAAAAGCAGTCTTGAGGAAAAAGAGCAATGCTGGAGCTATCATAATACCTGACTTCAAATTATACTACAGAGTGATAGTAACAAAAACAGCATGGTCCTGGCACCAAAACAGACATACGGACCAATGGAATGGTATAAGACCATTAATAAGACCATTAAGACCTAGTAATACATATAGCTACAATCATGTGATTTTTACAAAAGTGCCAAAAATAGACTTTGGAGAAAAGACATTCTTTTCAACAAATGGTGCCAGGAAAACTGGATATTCACATGCAGAAAACAGAAACCAGATCCCTATCTCTCATCCTGTACAAAAATCTATTGGAAATGGATCAAAGACCTTAATCTCAGACCTAAAACTTAGAGCCTACTAAAGAAAAACACAGGGGAACTATTTCAAGATACAGGCATAAACAATGACCTTCTGA